TACTTTTGTAGGTGAGTTAGATCTCACTTTGTACACACAAACCTACGTTTTATAACTTTCCAATTTTTCGTCTTTCATCAAGCGTACACCAAAGTCTGCGTTTAGTTTTTGGTGACTAAAATTCAGGCAGGCATATAGAGAATCTGAAATAACTGTTTTTCTTTAGATTATCATTTAAAATAAGTAACATATACGCACAAATTGCGTAAAAACATGAGGCAAACAGGATAACATATCCAACTAGTGTACCATTGTTTTCTGTGATGCAGTAAATAAATAGGAACAAAACCAATTACGATTTTCATATTAGTATATACAGTTTTTCTCCAACAATATTAATATTATCTTATGAGTATTTATTTCATCAATCACATGTCCCAGTTATTCAAAAAATTGAAATGACTGAATTGGAGTTTTCCAATGTCAGTTACTTGGTTTCTGAGGCACATGGTGTTTTCATCTTAGTATATTTAACATAATTGCATGTTAGCAACTTATCAAATAGATGTTGTTTACGAATTGAAGCCTGTCTCATGTTATACAACTGCGTAGATAATGCTCTTCTCATGTATCCAGAGATTTTGTTGATAATTAGTACACAAAACTGTTTACCAAAAATATCTTTATTCTAAATAATGTATTATTACTGAAAATCATTTTATGTTACAGGCATGATACATATAAGATTCAGATGAAGCATTCTTAAGCTTTCTGCAAAATAGGGTGACTGATGGGTAGTAATCTGTTGTACTCTTTTTGCAAATCGTGGATCGCTTTGGTTGAAGTTACGTCGAAAAACTTTTTGACTGACGTTTTGTACGTCCGTATCAAGCTATAATAGAGTACTTTATCAACAAAACTCATATTAATTTCAATCTTATTCATTGCTGAATCTTGTATTAACTCAGAGGAAATGGTTGTATAACTATTTTAAGTATCCTCTTGTCGTAGAGCGAGGTGAACTTACATCAGCAATTTGGTTACTGGATAATGGTCCTAGTGTTAATATACCTCATATGGACTTTTTATTGATATGAGATATGGTTACATCATTCAAAGATCATAGAGAAATAATTTGCTTCAGATAAATAATTTTTCGCACCGGGTGGATGTTAGTCTGACAATGACTCAGAAATTCTAATCCACGAGTTAATTGTTGACGACTGAAAACAGAAAGTTTAACAGTCAAACCAGGTATTTTTAGGTTATTTCTGTAACCACTTATTTAGCACAAAATAACCTACTTCCTCATTGGTTAAAGCTTTATTGATTATATTGATATTTTATCAAAATGAACATTGAATCGAGCGAACGAAAATAAGGTTAAAATCATTCCAAAAATCGATCGAGGATACTGACAAATAGCGTTCTTTGATTTTACTTCGACACATAGTACGCAAAGTTTGTTATGTACTGATATCAACTTGTTTTTGAAATAAATTGGTGTACGTTAAATTTTAATCTACATAAACCCCCAGAATAAATAGGTGGTAGTCCTATTGACATTCAACACCTGGTAGCAAACCTCGTTAATTTACTGAAGAGAACTAGCTAAAGGCAAACATCAAAAACTTATGCTATTCATTACTTCTCGTTCTGCTTGCACACTTCACCTAAGCAACAAGCCATCTAGCTCTCGGCAACTTTTCCGGCTGGAAAAATATTATCGCCACATCTAAGTCTATATTTTTGCCGCCCATAACTACCTAGGGATTGGACGACAAAAACTGGTCTAAAAAACTTCCTGCTAAGTAACTGTTTGGTTGTTCTTCAAGAGGTAGAAATGGGATCTCTGAAACGCTGTCATCAGATCGTCTACCTGTAAACAACCAGACCATTAGAGTAAATATTTAACACAAATTTGTTTGGAAAGGCAAGTCGATTGGATTGATCTCAAAATGTTATTAGGTAGAGAGCGTGCAGCAAGTAACTGTAAACTATCACACCAATGAAGTGTACAACACTGACTCCTAGCTGGATGCCTTTAAATTTAACTAGTGGTAGGCATCAAATACTTAATTACAACAAAACCACGGTTTTATTAACTCTGTTACAGACGTTGGTCTCCATCACCAAGATACCATTTTGATGATGTATGGAGTTGTATTACACCTACCCCCCACTAAAAATATGTCCATAAGACAATCGCGAAATTGTCAGATGCAGATGCTACTACATCTTGTTATATTTATCGAATAAATGGGGAGCCTATTAGTAAACAAAAGCCAGTGAAATCTTTAAATGCAAGTTTTATAACTGTTGACCTAATAAGCACCAATAATACTACTCACATTTCATGGAAAACACTAATAATAACTTTAAGACTTAAATCTTGTACGAGTATACATACAACCGACATATATAATTATGAGAACAAAGATATCTTCACTGTAATACATGTTTGTACACAATACTTTTACATTTTAGAACAACCTTGAAATTCTTAAGACAAAAATAAGAACTTATGACCAACAATTAGAAGTTTTCATCACCAGGTTATGAAAGGACTAAATATTTTGCTTTTACAATTACTAACACTTGACTAACTAATTTCTGAGTATAATGATTCAGAATAAATACTCATCATTTATTTCAACACATAGATATTGGTACAAAGAGGCACCAAATACATATGCGCCACACAAATCTCATTCGATGTGTGAGGGCTGTGATACTACCCGGGTGCCCAAACCGAAGCAGGTGGTTTTCTTAGGGGGCAACTCCCCGAGCCTTCGACCTGAAGGTCTGATCCACAAGGCAGTGGAGCATCGTAAGGAGATGCAGTCCCATGGTAGCCGGTGACCAACAATTGGTTCATACGCCATTTGTTCCCGCAGGATACTGAAGCCCATGTGCAACATTGGTTTGGAGTCCGGTTAAAGCGCCGGACATTCGCTTTTCGTCCTCTCATTTTCATAAACAACACCCTTGCCACGAGAAGGCAGTGAGTAGGACTTCCCTGTCAGAGGCTACATACGTGTGGTCATGTGAGAGCATTTCGAGAGGAAGAGCGAACTCTCCCCACTCTTGGCCGTACCAGGGTATTTGGGCACACAAATATACATCTAAGTAGTCAATATATGCACAGCCGCTTGATTCATAGCAGTCATCTTGTCCGAATTACAGACTCCTATGGCAGTAAGTACCCTTTACTCTATCTGACAAAAGTCATTAGTTTATAAGTGATGATCGATTAATAAGTCGAGTGTTCATGATTTTACCGAAGAGAAATGATGAGCCTGAGTTTCATGTTGTAATATGTAATTGTTATACATTGTTAGTCCTATGAAAGCATCCCTTCATTATGGTCAGCTTTCATCTATATTTATGTTGATATTACTCTAGATAACTTGCATCAGCCGGAAGATTTTCTGCCAGAATTGTTGTACTCATCATATAGTGAAGTAGAAGGCCTATAAGAGAGTTATTAAAAATACATGTAGCAATGGTTAGTCTGGAAGACCATACAGTTGAATTTGGACTTCTAATGGTTTTTACAGTGGGACACTACAGTTTTCTCGTATTTCAAACATTTCAACCAACGTAGGATTTAGATATGGGCATCAGGACAAGAAGATATCCCAAATCAGAAGTTAGGTAAAGTTGGCAAGAAGAGAAGGGGTTGAAATGTTTAAAACACTAATCATAGAAAGAGACTAATCATTGGAAAATATGGCCTGTAAAGGAATGAATTGAAAGTATGGAATCGTACTCAAGCCAAAAATCTAGGGAAAGATAAAGAATGGATGGGTTCTGAATCATCCTAGAAACCTCAATATCGGAGATAATACATATATTCCGAAATTTAGAATTACCTATGGACGGATTGTGGGAAGAATAATGGAGTTTCCAAGGACGATAAGTATACTTCAGTGCGGTAAATTTAGGTGGTACTAAATGACGAAATAATTTAAATTTAAAAAGATTACGGTAATAAATTGTACCCTGAAAATACCGAACTTCAAAACTCAACATATCAAAATATTACTTTCCATGTAAGTGAGCATCCGACATTTAGAATACCATAAAGGGGTCTTTTTGGTGGAGTTTTGTTCTCTGAGCTGGATGGTTTGGTCGTGGAGCTTTCATCGTTCTTCTGAACGATGGAAGCTCCACGACCAAACCATCCAGCTCAGAGAACAAAACTCCACCAAAATCATCCACCTGAGCTACAAATCTTCTCCATCACCATAAAGGGGTCCTTACATATAATTCGGTCGTTTCGTCCTAGTCTTTACATGATAATTGTCGCCATACTTATCGGAACTATCTTATCTTGACAAAATACAGTACTGATAGTTAAATTATATATGTAGATTACGAGTAAATGAATATACCGTGAGATTTTAAATAGCTACCCTCTATACCGAAACTCTTGACAATAAGACAGTGCCCTGGAATGCTTGACGTGAATACTAGTTCACTGTGATTACTAAAACATTCAGAGAGACGAAAATCATATAGCATCAGCTTATAGTGACTTCTGTCTAAAGTAGTGTCATGTTTCTAAAATTCGAAGTATCAACGTATTCGTTCCTCATTACAGTTCGAGACATTTCAGCAAATTAAGTTGATCCTAAGTTTTACCTACTCGTTCTGTTCGTTGAATTCGAAGGAATATTTGTTGATCAGAATCCTAACAGTAAATAGTTAATGCGATACATCATTATACCAGGTGAGAACAGTAGTTTTCTACTCATCTTCTATCGAATGGATGTGTTAAACAAAACAGTGACATCAGACTTTCCGACATAGCTGTAGTTCATAATTATTCCGTGGTCCCTTACCATATTAGGTTGTCAAACTAAGTCGTTTGGACCAAATAACGTCCAGAATAAATCGTTAGGAATGGACTATCTCGACATGTTTGTAAAATAAATTCTCGTAATTAAATCCTAAGTGACTTTGATATACGATAAGAACGATTACATAGCATTATATTAAATATACCAGTTAGCGATAAACTATTGAATGGATCACAAGAATAATGTCATTGAAGTTTATTCAGAGTCTGAAGATGATTCAGACTCATTTGCGCTTGAGTCTTCCGACTCCGTTGTGTTCTCCTTTCTAATCTCCATAGACTTTCCTGCAGGCTGCTCTGAGTGACTTGATGATGAGTCACTGTCGGATTTCCCTTCTGAATTCTTGGCTTTAGAATCAACAGATGCTTTTCGAGAATCTGGTGGAGAGGGCTTTGGTGAACTGCCGTTCGAGTCTGTCTTCGACTTCTTGGCCTCAGATTCTCCAGATGATGAGCTTTCAGAATCCTTTCGAGCGCATGAAGCTGAACGTTTTGATGAATCACTATCCGACTCTGTTTTGGATTTTTTGGCTTCGGATTCTCCAGACGAGTCTTCCGAACTTTCATCAGAGTCTTTCGAAGGCTTTGCTTCGCCCTCAACATCCTTGACTGACGAGGGATTTATTTTTTCTTCTTCCTCATTCCCCGAATCTTCATCTTCAGAAGTTTTCCTCTGGTGTTCTGTGGGACTGTCTCCATTTGCACCAACTTTCTCCTCAAGACTTTCATCTGAAACCTTTTCTTCCTCTTTTTGATCTTTGTTCTTCTCTTCTTCATCAGCTTCACTCTTTTCTTCCTCCTTAGAAATATCAGACTTATCTTCATTACCCGAAGACTCCTAGTAAAGTCAACTGATTATTATTAAACACACTACCTTATCCTTCTCTTCATCCTCCTCCTCACTCTCGGCCTGAAAATTAACGTCACAAATTGAGTCTGAGTACATTTTCTACAGGTTTAATTCATGCAGCACATGCAAAATAAGGCTAAACAAGCATGCGAGAAGACATAAGGCGCAACCGCTACCTCACTGGCGCTGCTACCCATCAATGCTGAGAACGGCTTCTGAAGGTAAATCCTTATAGTTAATTGAAGACCTTACAGGTTTTTCTCCAGGCAATTTTAAAAAAGATTCCAATTCTTCCATTTCCAAGGCCTCGTAAAATTCTTCATAGCCCTTAAAAAATGAAAGTAAGCAAAATACTAACTCCGAGATATTCCTCATCAAGGAAAATGTGTGGCGGAACCAAAGGTTTATCTTTTTTCTTCAGCTCTTCAAATAATAAACATTTCTCAGGTTCGTTGGAAATGTCAGACAGGTCAACTTCTTTAAAGTCAACCTTTTTGGCATTAAGCAGTGACAGAATGAGTGCCTGTTCTTTTTTGACCTGCATCATAACTCATTAAAAGTAACGATTCCAACCTTAAGGTTTCCAGAAAGAGTGCTGATATAAACCTTTAGAACCATTGAAGTAACGCAAAATAGAATTTTCCGCTGATCCAATGTCCTATTAATAGGCTAGTCCAAACCTATCCAATTATATACTCTCGAATCTTCGATCTTTATAATATTTCGGTATCTGAAGAAATGCCCATTAAGGTTACACAGGTTGCTCAGTTTCAATCGTCTTCGTGTCACTGAAGATTAGTGCACCTACCTCAAAATGTTAGCGTGTGCCATGCAAAATAAACCACCCAAAGCCTTGTAACTCTAAAGCATTTATGTTGACCTGATTAGTATTATTAGGTTCATGTTAGCTGAAGGTGCTTAGTCACACATCCGTATCAAATAATGTTTCAACACATCGTGATAAGCATCCTTTACGACGATTAGGTAGCTTACACTAAATACTACCCGAAGAATTGGTCAACTCCCAAATATATCCTTTATTGTGATGCATGGGTTTTTGACCCTGTCCTACAATTTGGTCGCTCTGTTTCTTCCCAAGTTTTGATCATGTAGGGGCCTCATCAACGACATGAAGCTGAACATAATTCTAGAAGAGAGTTTCCAGCCAATTGAAAGATGATAGATGCCAGACTGTGGTCTACCTGAGGAAATCCAGAAGAGCAGTCACCTCGTTTTTGAGTCAGTGAATCTTATGAGTATCAATGGGATGTTTGAAACTGTCTAACTAATTGCTTTCGACCCGAGAGGACTCTATATTCTTAGTGAAATAATTACTCTGAAGTAGATCAAATATACGATAGACTCTAAAGAAGCAATAAGTCGTTCGTATACGTGCGTTTATAAAGTTCATACCATAAACGACATGAATGATGATGCCTAGTAGAGATTGACTCGCATTCCTTAATCCCAAAAGGATGTGAAAACATTCCTGAGGACAGAAGGATGGTATAGTTGTTATGTTACGGTGTTCACCATCCGCCGTAGGAATTCGATCCCTTTTTCAAGCCTGATTTATGAATGACAGACTTGCATTTGAAAGCGACCGTCAAGTTGTGAATACTATGAAGATGCCACAAGTATTTGGAGTTTGACAACGATTTAGCCAGTAACACCCAATATAAATCGTACCTATAAAGTGAAATAAAAAATCAGAAATTAGGTTGTTCGAATATATTTTTGGTAGGCTATCCGTATATAGAGGATCGACTGATCTAGACTGATTAGCGATTGCAAGGGATGTTGGGCATGGCGTTCCCACTCGTGATCCTGTGTGGATGCATGACCGAGAGACTTCAGGTGAGTCCACTAAAACTAATGTGGTCAGCATCCAATGTCGAAGACTTACAGAGCTATTTATTTTGGGGATACGTTTACCATTACACCAGTAACTTTTACACTAAATTCTTGATTACTGTCTCCAAAATATTCATGCTCATAGATAGAAATTCTGAATATATCGTTGATGAGACACTAACGATATATAGTAGACCAATACTTGGTCCCAAAGTGGTCGATGTCTAATCCTAGGGGACTTCAATGCACCTATGGTAGACTGGGAAAATCTGCGAACTAAGTCGTTGGAGAATTCTTTCTAGCATGAACTAGTTGATGGGGTTATCACATGTGCTCTAGTGCAAGATGTGGAAGAAGCGACAAGGTACGATCCGGACACTGAATCATCCTTATTAGATCTTATACTGGCTCACTATGAGGATGATGTTGCGAACCTCCATCATATGCCACCCCTAGGTAAAAGTGACCACGCAGTTTTAACTTTCGACTTCCATATAACTGCTAGTCACGAGGACGCGTCAGTCCAGTCCAGACCCAACGTTTGGAAAGCAAACATACCAAACATCATGCACACAGCATCGTTAATAGATTGGACAATAGACCCAGAGTCCCCCATTGAAACGGCCTGGGACGCATTTCGAAATTCATACTTAAAAGTTACCAAACCTCACATCCCATGGACTATACCAAAGGGGCCGAAAAACACCACCATGGTTCAGTAGGGAGGTCCGTATCCTTCTCCGTAAAAAAAGGAAAATGTGGGATAGATTTAGGTTACTGGGGACTGATGAGTCAAAATCTCAGTATCGAAAGGCTCGGAATACTTGTGCCTCGACCCTCCGTAAGTCTAGAAAGATGTACGAAGAAAAACTTGTTAAGGAATCCATAGAATGTCCTAAACGCTTGTATTCCTATATAAATCAAAGGACAAGGAGAAACGGAAATATTCCTGCTCTATGGGGAGACAGTACTGCTTTATCATCAGTGGAGGACGACTTTGCTAAGGCTCCAGTGTTTTCAAACTACTTTAGCAACGTATATACCATAGAAGCGCTCTTCCCGTCAGAGTATACAGATCCCCCATACATACGTACACTGGATAGCGTGGCCATTAAAGAACTCGATGACTTTGGTCTGCTAAATAAGCTTGACATAGGTAGATCCACGGGGCCCGATGAATTACATCCTAGGCTACTGAAGGAATTATCTAACTTCGTTGCAAGCTCTTTAAGTACATGCTTTAACCTATACGTTACGCAGGGTCGTTTACCGAAAGCCTGAAAAAAACGCCATGGGAAGTCCTGTCTTCAAAACAGGTACGAAACACAAATCTGAGAACTACCGCCCCGTTAGCCTAACTAGTGTGGTTGTTAAAATCTTAGAAAAGATTATTCAGAAAGAGCTGTTTAAGTATCTCGATAAAAACCGGATCCTCTCGGAGAAGCAGCACGGCTTCAGAATAGGTTATTCTTGTCTCACTAACTTATTAGTGGCTCGTGAAAGCTGGTGCTCTCTTAAGGACCAAAAGCTACCTGTAGACGTCACCTTCATTAATTTCAGTAAAGTTTTTGACAAAGTTCCGCACAACCAGCTGTTATATAAGTTAAGAAAAGTCGGGATTGGAGGCAATTTATTGATGTTGATAAAAGACTTCTTAGTTGGGCGTCAACAAAAGGTAAGGGTGAACTCAAAGTTATCTAGCTGGGAAACTGTGCTTAGTGGAGTGCCCTAGGGTACAGTTTTTGGGCCAGTGCTATTCCTCTTGTATGTAAATGACCTTCCTTGTCTCCTATCATCATCGGTCTTGCTATATGCTGATGATGTCAAGATATGGAAAACAATACGATGTAAGAGCGATAGCTTAGAACTTCAAAATGACCTGAAGAAGTTATCTGAATGGTCTCAAACTTGGCAGTTGCCGATAAATACTTCCAAGTGTGTTGTGATGCATATCGGTCATCAAGGCACAAATACATACATGATGGATAACACTGAGCTACCTGTCGTCCAGACATATAATGACTTAGGCGTTATCGTTAGTCAAGACTTAAAAACTACTGCACACTGCCGTGCAATAGCCGCCAAAGGTTTTAGAACCTTATGGTCAATACGTAGAGCTTTTAGTCATGTCGACGCTAAAACGTTTTTGACTTTGTATACAGTGTTCGTTCGTCCTAAACTTGAGTACTACATACAAGCGGTTAGCCCCTGCTTAAAAAAGACAGTGAGCTTCTGGAAAAGGTTCAGAGAACGGCGACTAAGCTGGTTCCCGGAATAGCGAAGCTTCCATATGAATCTCGACTGGCCAAGCTGAACCTTTCCCCGTTGTCATATCGCAGAACTAGAGGCGACTTGATTACAGTCTACAAATTGCTTAGTGATAAATTTGCACCTAACATGCCCTCATTTTTCTTGTCTTCCAAAACAGAGAATATACGAGGATACTCCAAAAAAGTTCACAAGCCGAGAACAAATTACTTGTCAGCTGACTATCGACTTTCCCATCGAATCATCAACGAGTGGAATTCACTACCTCAGCACGAGATTGAGGCTCCATCCGTCAACTCTTTCAAAGGAAAGTTGGATCATCTGAGAGACCACCAGTGCCAGGACTAACATAGGCCATCGAGCCTCCTGTCTTTCCCAAACTGAAACTGAATGATTATTCCATGTGTACACAAAAAATATAGGAAGTACATATTTATACATTTGGATACACAACAGTGACTCAATTGATTATTAGTACATGATTCAGCAGTAAGTAATGATCAATCTGTCATATGACTATGTCGCATAAAGTATTTTTGGACATAGTTCGATTTCGTAACGAATATTGTTTTAACAGATCGATGGGGACGTTTTAAACGAGACATTTAGTTAACGCTTGTACTAGAATTATTAGAAATATACGAACTTGTATGATACGGTCAGAAGTGCGTTCGAATTTTCCGTATTTTGTCCCCAAGCGTAAGTTTTTATTCGTATATACTCACATTTTGTTTTTACTCTAAATACTCGGTCGCATAACATGCATAGACCATTGTTTCATATATCATTTGACTTAGGCCATCGTAACCCTACTTCATAATCTTATGAGCGCATTGCTAATCTTAGAGAGTCAGCTCTGATTTTTATAGTGGAATTTCGGAACACAGAGATAAAGCACCTACCTACATAGTTTTCGACATAAAATATTTATGACCATAACCACTCCTTTTCTACATTACGTTATTATTGTTTAACTAGTTTTTGGGTCTTGAGCGTTTTGATTTATTATACGTTTAAAGGAACTCTTAAAAGTCTTTGCGAAATGTGACCAATTTTAACTACAGCGAAAAAATATCCGAAGACTTTTGCATTATACTCTTGTTTGTGTTGTAGTAATAGTTCTGAGTAATTATTCCTTGATACTGACTTATTTTGAATTGACACATAGATTTATGAAGCATCTCGATTTCTAGAACAGGTAGGTCATCTCATAAAAACACTGGTTAATGAAAAACATTAATAGGTTTCTTTTCGCCGTACTTCATCTTCAAGACACATTGAACATAAGGACTCTGTTACGTTTTACTTCTGAGTTTTACTGAAACAAAATACCTCACGATTTGCTCGTTGTTATCTAGACGTTTATTTGATGCGGAAATAGTATGTGACTGACTAATCAGGTTTTGACTCTTTAAAAAAGTACGAAAACGAATCCAAAGCAAGTATATTGTATGCATCTTTTCATAAAAACAGCAATGGTATTGTGACGTTCTTTCTTCTATTAGATGTAAGATAATAAAACTCGAATTAAAAGCTAGTTTTTTTGCCTAAAAACATATGGGTAGATTATCATGGAATTACGAGGATGAATTTTATAAGTTTTTCCCAGTTTACGACACTAACCGTTCTTCAAAAGAAGTATTTTAAATAACTGATTTAACTTCTAGAGTAAGTGGTAAGCAGATTATCACGTGTATCGTTCACTGTTTATCAACTGTATTTACTTATCCAATGCATTTATTGCTGTTATGTGCCGTGTTAAGTCTTTTGATGCATGTTGAACAATTATTTCGATTATATTAACTACTGCCGATTGGATAGCGTACCTGTCCACCTAAGGTAGTTTTTAAATAACTGAAACAAGCCGGTTTTTGTTTAGAAAGAAAAAGCACACTCATTTTATTTTTATACCCGCATCTTGAATTGATTCGATATATCATCTTTTGTTCAGAGATTTTGCGTGACTGCATATTTCATATAGTCCGAGATATCCATTTAAGTATATCTCCCTTTTAATGTCAGGTTTAAGAAGAAATATAAGAAATGCATGTGAAGGATTGAAATATAGTAAACCCTTTCAGCCAATACAATGACGCTATTATACAGCTATACAACTTACGTTCATTTATAGCTCAGATCACATGTAGAATACCGTTTCCAGTGCTGAGAATAAACTTATTTGCATCAATATGCTAAATTTTGAACTTAAGTAAAATTATTTTGACTTAGAGCAGAAAAAGCATGTTTCTGGAAATGACTTTTTAAAGTAAATGATTTAATGGCCTGCAATTAAAGCAGACGAAACAATCGTAGCTTGTGGGGTTATTTTATACGAATACATTTATGGCAGCTGACAATTGGCTGAGCTAATTCTTTAAATAAGTATATAGATGGCTCCAATAAATCAGTAACCCTGCACACTAAGTATCGAGGTCACTTGTTTGTTTTCTGTATTACTGGGATTTAAACAGACTTATTCCTTTTGCTAAAATAAAACTTCAGTTTTTATGGTAATTTTCTTTGCATATAATTTTTGATTCATTTGTCGCGGTAGACTAAAACGCAGACAATAAGCTTACGGACAAACTCAATATATTTCTCTTTAAACAACCGACTTCCTATTTCTTTTCTGATCTTTTCCAAAACAACGTTTTAAAATGCACGATTTTAAAAAATGATCCGTTTGAATTTTCCAATAATTGTATCATGAAAAAACTTTCAGGTAACTAACTGCAGTGTGCATTATTGTTTTGTTGCTATAAGTCAAAAATATAATGTAACTGATCATAAGTTTACCATGGTTGACTATGTGTATTCAATCCCATGGTAAGTCATTCCAAACGCCGATGAAACAAATGTAAACTTGTCCACCATCTGAACATTTATACATTGAATAAAAGTCACATCAAGATTATAATTATGAGTTTGATTACAGTGCCTCCAAAATGCATACAAATAACATGTTGCTTGAACCTTCCTTTTCGGGAGAAATCGAAAGGATATTCACTGATGAATCAGCATGTTTTGAAAATATTATCTCACACGTTAAAATCAAATCAATTTATAACTAAGACATTCTGATGTCTAACATATAGACGTTTGAACTTAAAGCAATTGTTTAGTGAGCATAAGTATAGAAACCTCATCGACTAGTCACTTTATAAACAGTAAGCTTATTGTTTTAGAGATGTGTACAGCAATTGGTCACTACTTTTGCGCACTTATTATCGTTAATTTTATTGTATTTGAAGTTCATTGAGGTTAGTTTTTTATTAACGTTAGTCTTACGATCTTTTAGATTTAAACGAATTACAGATAGTTTCTTAAATATGGTAGGCTATTACCTATCATAAATCTACCTTAGTGGGTTCTCTGAGCATCTCAACCCAGAAAATAATAATAATATAGATAAACCCCACCCAAAACTACTTAAAGTTGTATTATAGAGTCCACAAAACAGGTATGATCAAAGCAAGTCAACTGAAATTACCAAAATTATGCTACTGATAGATTATATGGATATGAATCTCTAGAATTGGCACAGAGGGAATGATTGATTTTATTTTCAAGACGGTTCTTAGCAAATGACTATAGCTTCATAAGTTTAATAAAATATGTATTTTCCCAGCTTGAGGTGACCAAAAATGTCCTCTGATCCCTATCGAATTATTTGTGCCCACTGAATCAAACCTTTGCAGGAACTGGTCCGTCCAAGAAATGACGATTTTATGATGTTATGACCATAATTTACCAAAGGGTAAATGATATCAATTAATTGGACGACCTATCTGCCACAGTGCATAGTTTTTGCGTAAAGAAGCAAAGTACTGGTTTTGATGATAAACCAAATAATGCGTTTTGTAGTCAAGAGTTATTTCAGATGGGATCTAGTAGCGAGAATTATGAATCAGTATGTAAATTGGTGAAGTTGTTTTATTATGTGCTAAACAATATATATAACGATTTATTAAAAATACTTTGAATTTCACTAGCGTTTCATCAATCAAAAATGATAATGCAGTAGACGTGTGGAAATATCTCCTATTAATTTGAATGGTTCATTAGTGTAATTAACGATTTAGTTGTTCATATCAGAAGCGATACTCAGAAGGATTAGAGAATAAATTACTTAGCAGCTGTTAAAGTTTTAAGAGTAATAGATATGTTTATGCATACTTTTCTTTAGCAAGTGACTATCACGACAACGAAGAACACATGACTTTTGTTCCTTGTTCAAATGTTAACCATTAATTCTAAGAGGAGCTAAGGATGATTTATTTGGTGAAGATTTTAAGTGAGTCCATTGGTCGATTTCAGCATTATTGGTATCGAGTTCTGCACTATATATTAAAAAAGCTCACGTTTTTTTATGCATTCCACTTATTTTGAAGATTTCTTGATGAACTGTCGCTACTCGATAAATAACTTTCCGGAAGAAAAAAAACTATATTGATGGCTAACATAAGATGTCATGCTGAAATTGCTGCGAAGCTTCTAATGAAAAACGTAAACTTATGACTACATAGACTGTAGATTGTTCTGTACTACGTCATTTATCTTCTTATGTATCGGGTTGAGTTATATTATTTATAACGGAAAATTCAGAATGGTAAATAATTCTACATCTGTGCAAGAAGTTTTTGGAGAGCATGTTACTACTTTGATAATAAAAATTAAGTGATGGTGTATCGGCATGTACTGTTTGTAAAATACTATCTATCAAAAGCGGGTTCTGTTTTTGCAACCATGGGAAAGTGAATGGACGTATTAAACCGTCATTATTTAGGAGCATAGTAGTCATTTAAATGGCTCTTCTATGTACATCGAAACACAAAATATGCATTTAAATTCAAAAGTAGTAAAACAGTGCCTACCTTAAACGTTTGATATTAGGAGTTATAAGTTTATTGACAAAAGCTATTTTTAATTTAGTACGAGGGATACTATTTGCAAACAAAGATGAAAATAACAAGAAAATTTTTTTGTTTGCTTCTGTTTGTTAACATAAAACTTTGCGGTCTTTCGGTGTGGAAACCGTTGCGAATGGGAACACTGTTTAGTGAAGTGACTTTACTCTCCTGCTTGTTGGCGTAAATGCTAATATTTTCAAGAATTATCATTAGTTAGGGGTTTGTATTCAGTGATACTAGGGGAAGGCCCCTCATAAAACTATAATAAGTATTCTAAGACTTACGAAACAATGATCATGTAGTATAAATTGCAGTATGTGGAGAATATGAAAACGTCATTCATGAGCAATGTCATCTTATCATTTAAGAAGTTTAGTCCAAGCAGTTATTATTTTTTATGGATATTGGATTTATATAATTGCAAGTATTAATAATCCTATTATGTATTCAAATCTAAATGATAAAGTCAGCAATAGCATTTCACTGAAAAACGGATAGTATTTTATCAAGAATCCTTAATTCCTTATCTTTTTTTAATATTGAGAAGTATCCTATCAATCAAGAGAATATTTTTATTTTCAATCCCTCTAAATAGTAAGAGACACATTGCTAGAAATTAATAAACAGTTTTAGTGTGAGATATAACTAAAACGTCCTAAAGTTTGGCACCATTTATTTACGTGTCGGCTGGTTCAGTAACGAATACGCCATACTCTTACTGAATGAAATAATTACGTATGTCAACATATTACTCATTTACGATGCTAAAACACATTTCACCACTTGCCA